AGGGCGCGAGCGGGGTAATTTATCCTAATTTTCGTTGGTTGGGCTCGGAAGCTTTACTGAGGCGAACGCGTGTAAGTTTTTTCAATATATCACGTATATTGCCCGCCTTGTGTGAGCAAAACCTATTTCAAGCCTGAAGAAGGTGCTAAGCACCGAAATATTGCAATCGTTCTAGAGAGCTTTCGAAATTAAGTGTTTTCGAGCTTTTTGAAATAAATTTCAGAGCCTCAAACTGTTGTTTAGCATTTAAATTAGGATGCCGATAATAAATCAAATCATTAATCATTAAATTGCTATTTTGTTTATTTATTTATGGATAGTCCAGTAATTGCTGCTCGTCTTCGTCAGGCAGTCGTCGGCAACATTTCATTTTGGAGGAAAGTCTTTAATTGAGAGATAACACCCAAGAGAATTGAAACAGTAAGAAGTGCACCCATTTTTCTGGAACTTTAGTCTTCCCCGTCTTCTTACCGATTGTTCTTGTCAATCAAGTTGTAGCTGTTCATTGTGAGCACCTCTCGCTTCCGCCGCACAGCCAGAGTGACGCCTTTCCGACGTAGCTTTTTCTTCACTGTTGATTTTTTCAACTTGAACCCTCTACCGCTCACAGGTCGTGAACCATAGGAGTTAAGATCGAGACGGATAACTGAAAAGGCACGATTACTGACTCCGCCAGAGAAGCCCACTGTTATTGAGAGAGCCTTGAGAGCAGCATCCGTAATGATCAACTACAATATTTGCCAATGGTAGTGAATTATAGGCGAAAACCGAGTTATGAGCTGCCTGATGTTCACTGCATCTCCTGGTGTAATTGGGGTGGAGACCCCTCCCACTAAATACGCCTACCTCGATTCTTCACTCGTTTCTTTCCGAGCAATTTCATCCAACGTATCCGTTTTGCTTCTTCTGCGCCCGCCTCCAAGAGGGTCGCGACGCATCTGGCATGTGACTGTACATCATCCGCATCTTTTGCACACTTGTAGTGCCGTTCTTTCTCCGCTGAGGACACTTTTGGTATTCTGAAACTCACTGATCAAAAAGGAAGCAAAAAAAGACAGAAAATTTTGAGAACTGAGATCATGGGGAAAGAAATCGGCGAGATGCCGATTACCAGGGACCATTTTGTCTAATACAGTGCGTTTCCATAATTATAAGGTCACCCTAAAATATTGCATTTCCGGAACCAGCAGCCAACTGGTGATTTTTCCACTATCACCAAATGATTCCCCACTACGAATAACCCCTGTATCGCAATTTTGGTGGGAGCAGCTTTTCTTCGAACTTTTTTTTATAATTATTTTTCGATTTTTGCACCGTTTCATAATATAAGGTCACCCTGAGAAAAAGAACAATTACCTAAGATTAATGACAGATAAAATAGACATAATAATGTATGGTTCCTCCTTTATCAAGGGCAACATCGACTACCGGAATTGAGATTCCAAGGCAGATCACCATCGATTCACTTCCGTGTTCAAGGGTTGCTTGTACACGCTTTTGGTGCTTTTAATTTTCGTTTATACTGGCGTTTATCACTATTACTCATGACGAAGATGCCCCTGAGATGTTCTACTAGAACACGACTAGAAATTCAGAATAATTTGTTCAGTTCATCTGGGTTTCGAGAGAAATGCTGCTTCTGGTTTGTGACCTACATGGGTACCTGTGCTGTTCTGTATGACTACGTAGGCTAGCCGACTTCATCAGCTCAAGGGAGAGGTCAGATGTCCTCGCAAGGCTCTATGCTAATCTTTGGAGTCCATTATGCAGTTCATGGAAGCGAAATTTTGACACAACATCATTACAAAAAGCACCCACACCTTTCACATCTCCTTAACTAAAATTGCAAGCGCTGAAGTGAATCGGCCACCTTCGCAAGTCACTTCAAAAGTGTTTATATTCGCAGGATCTGTTTGTTTAAACCAGTTTTGTCCGAAAAATACCAACTTTACTGGAATTATCTTGCTGTGTGGTGCGATTGTGGCGCAGGCTCAACTTTGTTCAACTCTCTCTCAAGTTCAACTTTACGGGTTGAAGTTGTGCCACCTTGCAATGGCCAGTGAGCCTTCGGACCATCTTTGTCGCTTTCCTGGTAATGTTGCTGCATCATTTCACCGCTCTCCAGTTCATATTTTTCAAGATAGAAACATTAAATCAGGCACGACGCCGATTTCAAGCGGAAATACTGTTTGAGACAGCCCTCATAACTCTTCTCTAATCATTTATAGAGACCTTTTTGTGGACGTTCGAAAATTGTAGAATATCTGGAGACGTAGGAGCTTCATTATCCATGAGCAGTGCTAATGACTGTCCGAAATGCTTTGGAAAGACTCGCGAACCGTGCCAAGCACCATGAAATGCATAAACTTTACCTTTTCTTCAAAAGGCGAGTACGAAACATTCCATAAATTTAGCTACTGGGTGTGTTTGTAACAAACATTCAATTTCACAGGCAGGTTGGTTGTTTCCGATAATGTAGTATTCATTTTTACAGGGTGACCTTATAATTATGAAACGCAATGTATGCTTGACAGATAGACATTCTGAAATCTGAACCTTGTTGCTTCACTTAAATGTAAACTTGCCGAGGGCCTGCAGCGATTTTTGGCACATAATGGTTTTGCGTCCTTGACCGATCTGTCGCGAGAGCGGCCATCAAACTGCTGAACGCTTGGTCAACCCAGTGTTGATAAAGCTCGTTGCCACTGTCTTCACTCATTGGCACGTTAAATATTCCATTCTGAAACCCAGATCCATAAATTTCTGGAAAGGGCTCTATTTGAAAAAGCTATTCCACTCCGAGATTCGCTTAAATTTCGTATATGTGAAGTTGCTGACAATAGTTTTTCCCAGAATATCTGCCCAGTCACTGGCTGAAATTCCTCGTTGAGAGTAAGTGAAATATAGGCTTTTGGTTGCACTCAGATTACGATCGTCCCTGATCGCGCTCAGATGACGAACATATCATTTAGGGCGGATGTTTCAGAAAAGTCAATGCTCATTGGAGCTAGAAGCAGAGGTTTCAGAGGGAGCACTTCATAAAGAAAATCCAAGAGAAGATGGCTTCACACACAAGAAATTAGACCTCTTCCTGCCCATTGATTTTCTGTATTGTGGCCAGAGCCCAACGACAGACGAACTATATTTTTGTCCTAACGGCTTGTTTGATATTTTTTAGCTTGGGTAGTTAACCATAGCGCGATAACATCTGCCAACAAATAAATCTCATAGAGAACCAGCCGTGCTGTCTGTTGGCACACGTCAACGTTTCTCTGCCACACGGACCTGCAAGGTCGACATGAGACAGGAGCACTACCGCCGCTATAGCGGCACCAATAGCGCGGCGGGGAAAGGCCATGCTAGATCGCCGGAGGCATAACCTTTTGATGCAAGTTGCGTGTCGGTTCGCACCCTCAGGAAGTCCGCCCGCCTCAACTAGGTGGGTTTACCCTTCTACGACCTTGGTCATTATCATGAAATCATCGCATCCAGGAGTGACAGGTGGCGTTCGGTAGGGTTGGAGTACTTTAGGTTACCATGAGCACGCCCTTAGCCGCCATACATTCTCTTCTTAATTTCATAATGGCCCAGCACCCCTTTCTGGTTGGCATATCTCGCCTGCTTCCAGACCGAATTTATCGTATCGTCTGCATTCCATGACTGCTGCCTCCGTACTATAAGTGCATAAGTTCGTCCTCCGCCACCTCACAAGACATACTGTGCTAATGTGAACATTAGGCCGACATTAATAATAAATGCATATTTGATACATAAGATACAAATACATACGAGCGTGAAAGCATACCCCATGAGGTGTATACCTTTAAAGGGCTAAATGCATATTTAATGCGTAATTGCAAAAATGTATAATAGATAAATGCTTATTTTTGAATGCAAAGCAATAAACTCGTGCAGCTTATGGACGAGCATTTTGCAAATCAATGGCTGATTGGAAGGTAGGAAGAAAGTGCAGTTACTCGTGTTAACGGCAGTGAGTATCAGGATATTGATCAAATATGAGAGCAGAGGGGCCATGTGGTCAGGTCTATTAGGGTAGAATAAATCAAAAAGAAATAGTCGAAACCCCAAAAAATGAGACCCCATTATGCCCGTCCACTTTGGACCAAACGTATCGTTAGAATAGTATAACAGACGTCAAGATTAGACGATACGTTTGGACTGATTCGCATTTTACGGGATTGAAATTGAAAGATAGTGAAGATGGTGAGTTCGGGGCCATTTTAAGACCTTGCTATTCCTAGGGTTGGGACAAAAAGGCACGACGCTTCGTTTGCCGCCTGGCTGCAGCTCCACGGATGCAAAAACTCGCCTGTTGCAGACCAATTTTATGGTGCGCTTAAGAAAAACCCATCGTTGCATTGTAAATTCTGCCTACGTGCTTGACGTTTGCTACCCTTAGGGAGTCCTGGTTGCTTGTGAAGCGCCTATGCTGACGAATGTTTAGGTGAGGCAACAAATCACTCATTCCTGTTATTTTAAAACATTTTGTAATACTACAACTACATCGGTGCTCTGCCCTTGCAAAATTTGAAGAGTCGTAAAAAATTCGATAAAAGAAGGTAAACAATGGCTAACCTTATAATATGGTGAGTTTTTGACGTCAATTTCCTCTTTGCCCATATCAACGATGGAGCATTCGGAATTTCCTGAAAACAAACATGATAACTTATCTCATACGCAAAGGCACGGAAGCACACATAACACATAAATTAAAAGTTTTCATTCCCAGAATTTTTGAGGCATGCCCCAGGGTCGTATAACTGCGTATAGATTTATCGCCACGGAATTACGAGCTCGTCGTTTGGGTGAGGGTAGGGTGGTTGTAGAGAAAAAATGGAAGGAGAATTCTGAAAACCCTCAGGTTTTTTGGGGATTGTTCACCTTAGTAATAGGGCTGTGCTTATGCAATTGGAGGCCGAACCAGGGTCAACCCTATCGTTGTTACTCTTTGGAAATTTTTTACGACCCCCCCCCCTTCATGGGTGATTTGATACGACCCCCCTTGTATGTGACACTTGTGTAGAGACAGTGTTTACCATCAATATTTATTTCTACGTAAGTCATCAAAGATGAAACTTTAGCAAAATCCACGACAGATATTCATCGCTGCTTTCAAACACGAAAAAATGAGATGCATTCAAAGATATCCGTGTACTCCAAAGGGTTACCAAACTAGGAGATGAAATAAACTGAACCAGTGACCGGAATATTGACAATATTACCTGATAAAAACTTATGAGAAGTCAGAAAAAATTATCGCTCCAATTGAAATACTGAAATCCTTCACGTTCTTCAATTGCAACACAATTTTTACACCCCTCTTTCTAAGGCTATAACTTCCTTCATATTCGAGCTTCTGCGCCGAAGTGATTTGATTTGGAAAATTCAAATTATTCTCTCTCCAACCATGGGTAAAAATTCTTCGAAAGTTAATTTAATAAAAATTTAGTACGTTGTTACTTTTTTCTGTGCAAATGCGACTTTTTAACCTTTAAACGATCATAACTTTGTTCAAAGTCATTCATTTGGGAAGCAGAACATGGTAAGAGAAATACAGGGGGGGGGGACAAAAAAAAGACATTTTGCCTCCACTTCCAGATGGATTTAAGCACATTTTACTCAACTCAGACCGAACGGTTCCAACTTATTATTAAAGAGTGCATTCCATTCTATAAGAAAATCTTCATAGTGGCCACGTACGTGGACGGCATCAGAAGAATTAGCCCTGGAAACATGGTGCACTGGTCGATCTCAATGGGGTCTTCGAAGGATCGTGTACCATAACGACCCTTACTGGAAAGCTAGTTCCGAGGGGATTTGCACAGTGGTAGCTAATGCCTCTAGAAAACTATCCAACATTAAATCGATTCACGAAATTGCGTAAGAGCTTCAGGCTGAAGCTCTTACGGTAGACCTCCTTGAGCCTGACGACGGTGACAGATGACGTCATATTCTGAAGACGGTGAGGGCAGTGAAGGAGAGCCTGCGTACACTAATAGAGGAACACTTAGGGAATACTCTGCTGAGGAACTCCCGTCAACGACAGCAATCTCTGCGAAGAAAAAAGAGCCGAAGTCCGACATAGGCAAAATGTCTTTTTTTTTGGCCCCCCTGTATATAGTCGATCAAGCTTTATAACGAGCACCCAAGCGTTCCTGAAAGATCAGTAGTTCAAAAATTAGTCCCGTTGTTACTTTTTTGGGGGTTTGCGTTACTATTTTTTTGGAACCGCGACTTTTTTACCTTCAAACGATCATAACTTCCTTCAAAGTCATTCATTTGGGAAGCTGAACACGGTATGACAAACTACAGGATTCAAGCTTTCTAACGAGCACCAAACGTTCCTGAAAAGTCAGCAGTTCAAAAATTAGTCCCGTTGTTACTTTTTTGAGGGGTATTCTTCAAGCCATTTTCCCGAAAACGCGGGTTTTCTTAGGTTTCACTGCCCGTAACTTCTTGGAAGACCAATGTCATGTTTAACTTAGGATGTGCTAGAAAGCTTCGAGCATGCGCTTGCACTACATCCCTTGCCTTGGTGCGCGCCACGCCTCGGGCGCCCTTCTAATTCGCTGATTCATTTGAAAGCTCATTTAGAGGGAAGCGTGGTTTATAGATGCTCTAGTATCAGTCATCTTACGAAAACGTAACGTGCTGGCTATTATCCGATATTACCAAGAATCCCACTGCCGGCCACCGAGAGAGTACGACCCCCCTCCAAGCTCAACTGAGTACGACCCCCCCCGTTGTTACTCGTAACAACGTAGGGTTGACCCTGGGCCGAACGCCGCGAGGCGAGGGAGCGTAACACATGAAACGGTACCAGACAAAAGGTTGTATACCTGCAGCTACTGCAGCTCACTTTGCTTTGCAAGTCCCCAGTGCTCTTGTTGGGTGAATTCTATGCACGGGCGTGCCACAGAAATGTGATTGCTCGATTGAGAATTTGATTAATTCTACAGACAGCAGGGAATCGTTCGCACGACTTCTGGCAGTCTGTGCGTTCAATGCTTATGTCCATCTCAATTAATACTGACTGGATCTTTCCACCTGCAAAATCACGTACATTGTACTCGATCACGTACCTCTCAACAGCCCTCCACGTGAAGAAGTCTCTGCCAAGCAAGAATGATGTGTCCTGGGACTGCTTGAATGCAGCGCGATAGGTTTAGAGGGACCAGGTTGTCAATTGTACGCCAATGACGAAAAAAAAACAACAGAGAAATCCGTGAAGAAGAACGTGGAAAGGGGACCCTTTGACTCCGCTCAAGGACAGAAAGCGGCTAAGACGATGGACGTGTGGTTAAGTTCAACGCATCGCGTTCGGTGGGCCTGAGTCAATCCGTGCTCCAGTTGCTCCAGTTGTGTCGCTGCTGGGAGCACAGCTCGTCCAAATCACCAACAAACTAGTGGGCGGATCGCTTTTGGGCGGAGTGCTTTCGAAGTCCTGCTCAGCAACCAGCGCACCTTTCGTTGTGAACGCCACAAACCAGGGTCAAGCGAGGCGTTGAGGAAAATTTGGAAATACGACCCCCCCCCCCCCACCACCCTCCGCCGGAGGCCGAAGTCCATGAAACAACCCTCTTCAAAAGCCGAACTATGAAAAGGTTGAAAAGCTTGTTTAATTCTCCCCCAAAACTGCTCATAAAAAAGCCCTGCTACCCCACCGCCCACAAAAAAATTCGTTTAAGAAGTACAAAA